GGATGCATGGAAAAACATTGCCTGTGTTCCGGTCCACTGTGAACGCAAAAAATAGAGCGAGCAGCATTTTTTTGCGCTTGCAGTGGACCAAAATGCAGGCAATGTTTTGCCACGTGTCCGATTGCACTGCAGGCGGCGGGGACTGCAGTGCCATTGACTTCGATGCACCGCCACGCCCCTACTGTCCCAAAATGAAGGGGGAGGTTTTGTGAGCGATTGCTGTGCGTTCCAGTAGCTGCCGCTCTGGAACGCACGGCAATTGATGTGAATGGGCCCTCAGAGATTCCCCTTACATTGGTTGCCCCCATCAGAGTGCCCCAATACCTTCCTTCAGCAGGCAGGTGGCAGTCTGAACAGAACCGTTACTTGGTCCGTGTCTGGGACTGCGGCCCACCATTTAGTGTCCTTTGCCTTATAAAAACAGGTCCAGTTAATCATAATCTCTGGATAAAATGGCAAAATATTTTACCAGCTTTTCACTTGTAGCCTGTACTTTACTATATATATATATATTGTGTATTTTGTTTTTGCTGGTTACTGCTGAACTATCCCAAATTGGTTGTCCTAAGTCATCACACATGTTTGCAATTCAGTGATAACAATCTTTCTGCATTGTTTATCTTTGTATATGAAATATTTATATTTAACTATAGTTTGTTGTTGCTTTTATGTTTTTATTTTATATACGTTGACAATGTATCCCATAAGTAGGCATTGGACCTGTTCCTACAAGTAACAAAGGTAGCCATCTTTGTGAGCTGGGTGACTCCTCTTTTCTGGGAGGCAGCAATACAGGTGTACTTCTCCAATGTCAGCAGAGTGGATTCTGACATTAGTTGTCTGCATCAGAGATCCCCCTTTACTTTGGTTGTCCCCATCAGAGTGCCCCAATACTTTCCTCCGGCAGGCAGAGGGCGGTCTGAACAGAACCGATACTTGGTCCGTGCCTAGGATTGTGGTCCGCCATTTAGTGATCCCGAATTCTTTGACCGAAGTCACATGTCCCTCGGTGTCCCCACGTCTAATGCAAGTGAATAGACCTTGCATGGACGTTATGAGGTCATTGGGGCTCAGACGAGAAGAGGCTGGGGGCACCCCTGGACCAAAATGAGCACTTAACCCTTGCAGCGTTCCTCTTTAATATGAGAACTTAAGAATTTAGAATCCTTTATAGAATAAGCTTGTATATGTTAAAAAAGCAAAGCCGTGACATGGCTGTAGGATTGATCCAGCTCACAAAATGACCACCACGCTATAAGTGACAGGTACTCTTTAAAAAAAACCATTTGCTGTGACTAATAAACCTCACATGAGTCTCTCCGTGTAAAAATAATCGTTATTGATGGCAGAAGTGGGATTTCAGCCCCGGCTGCTGAGAGCTTTTCTTGGTTTTATTATTTGCTTTTTTGGCGATGTATATTTACCCAGCGCTTAACGCTGCTCGACTGAGCATACACAAGGCTCTCTGTGTGACATGCTGAATTCTTTTACCTGTGCATTGTAGGGAGAAGAGACGACCGCATTGACTCTGCTACTCCACCGAGAATCTGGATCCCTGGGATTTAATATTATTGGTGGACGGTCATGTGTGGTATGTTAATTGTTAAAATGTGTTTTCGTTTTCCTGTCAAGCAATGGTGGGGTTGGGGGGGGGGG